CGAATCTTGTCCCTGGGCGCCAAACACCCTCGCTACGCCTCTGGTGTAGATTCCACGGGCAAACCTCAGCTGGGGCCAAAGGTATGCCCTCAGTGGGTGCTACAACCGGAATCAACTTATTTGTATGTAGGGGCGACATTATGCATAGTTTTGGCGCTGATAGATACCATGCTTCCCATTCCCGAATCACTGAAAAGCCCCCCCCCCCTCCCCCCCTCCCCTTTTCCAACCTTTTTTTTTTCCTTCTAAATTCTTCTCTTAACAGGGCACTCGATGCTGTAATCGGCTCTGAAACCACGAACATTAGGACTGCTTCTATCATACTGAACATCTTACAGATAATTATAATTGCCCAAATAATACACCATCGGTAGGCACTAGTTGACAAACAGTTGCCCAAATAATACACTCTCGGTAGGCACTAGTTGAAAAACAGTTGCCCAAATAATACACTCTCGGTAGGCACTAGTTGACGAAATAGGGAACATATTTTGTTTCAATTTACTGGTTTCCTCTAACTTTAAACAGCCCTTTCTACGTTAAAGAACTCTTTAACTTTCTTCCTTTCACATACTTCCTTCAAAGTTCCTTCACACTCCCCCGTTCATATACTTCCTCTACATTCCCTTCACTTTCTTCGTTCCCACTTTCCCTTCACAATCTTCATTCCCATATTTTCTTGATAATCTCCATTTACACTTCCCATTCACATTCTTCATTCACATACCGGGATACTTCATTTACAATCTTAATTCAAACTTCCTTTTCACATTTTCCCGTCACATACTTAATTCACATAGATCTACTTCATTTACATTCTTAATTCACTTACTTAATTTACACTCTTAATTCAATTACTTAATTTACACTCTTAATTCACACAATTCATTAACATTCTTAATTCACACTACCCATTCAAATACCTCCTTCATATTAATCATATTTCGTCTTCACAATTCAAATTCACATTCTTCCTGTCAAACATATTTTTTTTTAAATTGACAAACTAAAAAAAAACAACAACAACATAATTTCTAGCTGAGAAAAATCACTTTTCAGGTTTGAAGTTGGGATGCGAGGGCGTGAGTGCCAGGGTTTTGACAAGTGAAAAACAAAATATTTAATATGCTTGCAAAAATTCATTAGTTTATTTAATTGTGTTTTCAGTATCAGTCTGAAAATGAATTTAATGGAAAGGCAATTGGTGACGAAACATAGAACCAGGGCCGGCGCTAGGGGTTGACGCGTGGCCGTAGTATAGTTATAATATACTTTTTCTTGCATTACCCCTTTCTTTATCGGTATTTACTTTATTATTTTATCCTTTTACTTTTAATTTTTTTGTGCGTTTAAACTACTAATAGTTCCTAATCCAGTCAACACAATTCTCGGAGTTATTAGATAGTCAAATGGTCTGAAGGTCAATCTGGCTCCCAGGGCCAGCTTCGTGTTTTCGTCATTTGTTTTTGACAACCTTGATATTGGTAACAGTGGCGCCGCGATGAGTAATTTGGGCCAGGGCAATTAACTGTTAAAGGAAAACAAATATTTTTTTTTCGGAAACTAAGCGAGTGAACAAATATTCGTTATGATGCGTCCCATTATGACCAGCAAGGCCCCAGTACGACTATAACGTGTTTTAGTATCCTGTCGGCGGAATATATAACGTCAACGGTCCCGCAAAATTCAATTTGCCCAAGGTCCCGCACCCTGCTAGCGCCGGCCCTGATAGAGCAGAGCCGTGGCGAGGATCCTGAAATCTCTGCGGCAGTTCGTAATATTTAAGTTTAAGGGCTAAAAGTTAAAAGGTGGGAAGTGGAAATAAATTTCAACAAATTCAAGGGGCACAAACACGAATCGTGTTTGTTTGGGGGAAAGGGGGGGGGGGCGCTAAAAAAATTCACGTGACGGCACTAACATAGGCATAGGGACTTTCATTAGAGGCAGGGGATGGTCTGGATTGCTTGATAATCACAATGAGATGAATGGGAGAAAAAAAAAGAGGCATGAAAAATGGGGGGGGGGAGGGAAGAGTGTGTATTTGTTGAGTTTCCACATTCGTCCATTGATGATTGCCTCTATGATAAATTACCGTAATTCCATTCCAATTTTTTTTTTTTTGTGTGTGTGTGTGTGTGGTTACAGTCTTCTTGTAGTTTTAAACTGCTGGCAACTAAACCGTAACGGAAATTTTTTATTTGGTTTTAGCCATCCGGAAAATATCAACCGGAGTCCGGAACTGTAGTAAGTAAACTTTCAATTTCAATCAGTAAAAAGTTAAAAGTATTATTAAAATGTGAGAGGCGAGAGGGCGGGACCAAATAATCTAATCTATAATGCTATCCTTTTATACGCATTGTGCATATATATAGTCATATAGTTGTGCATTCCCTGTCCCTGGCATATTGTGATTATTCAACACATTTAATAATTAAAAATAAAAAAAGCCTTTCATGTGTATGATTTGTTACTGATTTGTAAGAGTAGTAAGACGAATTTAAACGCACAAAAAAATTAAAAGTAAAAGGATAAAATAATAAAGTAAATACAAATAAAGAAAGGGGTAATGCAAGAAAAAGGCAAAACTCCACGACTCTGTCCACACATTTTTAAAAATAAATCTATAAAACTAAATTAAAACAGACACAGAAAACTATCATTAATCATTTCAACGAAGTATGAAGCCAAATAATTCCAATTAAATGTAGAAGAAATAAATTATATTTAATTTATTTATATTTTTTTTGAAAATATGTTCTGCACAGACTATGGACTTTTTTTGCAGTTGAGTTGCCTATTGACAATTGAGAAAATTTTGAAAGAATGTCTTTTAAATTTTTATAATTTTTGCTTTTACATTTTCTACCTATTACTATTAGTATGAACATTTTAATCTGTAAATAATTGACAAAAGAATAATAAAAAAAGTCATGACATAACAATTGCTTACAAAATTAATGGTATAAGTATAAGTTTTTTTTTTAGCTCTTTAGGTCTTTACTCTTTTTTACCCAGGTTAAAACTGAACTGTCTAATCCAACCTCACTTTCCCTCAACTCAGCATACTGGAGCTGTAACTCTGTGTCGACAACTCAAATACAACCTTACAAGTCAGCATTGGGCACATTGGACCAACCGAACGAGAGTGTCACATGTGACAACAAAAATGATGCTACAAAGTTACAAACTTAAAAACCCATGAAAAACCCATGAATCAGACCATAAATTAGCAAGCAGAAAGTCTTTAAATTTTAAACCCCCCCCCCCCCCCCCCCCCCCTATTTTCATATTTATGAAGCAATATATCAGGTCTAGTCAGTATCTATTACTGAAAAATTGTGTTGCTACTTATATTAGGGGCTTCTCAAATAATTTAAACTTTTGGTAGGTCATAAATCATTATAATTATTATTTATATTTTATTTTATAGATGTATGGAATGTGGCTAATCATCATTGCCATTGGATATCATCTCCTTACATATGATTATGTCAATCAATCTATTAAATGAATATAAAATGGTCTTACTTAGGCTTTAGTAGTATCTACAAGTTAAAATTTATTAATAGCAAATTTATTGGGCATACTAAAGGCTATATATATTTTGCTTGAACTTAAATGTGAAAGCTGACAACTCACAATGGCAATGCCATGATGCATATTTTGATAAATGTAATAGGTCTACTCAGAGCCGTCTTGTGACTTTTGTTTGACCCTGTTACTTTTTGGTTTTGTGTCCCCTGAATTCAGAGTAAATAGATATTTTTTTCCACGTCACAACTTTGGGTCCCTAAAATATTTTAGGCAGAGGTTGCAGGGCCCATGCGACAGCTCTGGATTTACATGCTACTACTGGTTAAATAAGTAAATGATATACCTAGTATTATAAATTAGCTACTACTGATCTCTCCCTGAAAATATTTATAAACAATGCTCTTGTCTGCAAATAAAAGGAAATAATCTTTAAAAAAATGGGCCTTGTTACTTTAATATCGGTAATGTTGATGTTAGCTGTTTAGCACTTGCAAGTGAAGAAAACAACTTGAAAGCAATAATGATAAAGAGAAAAAAAAGCACTAATGAACCATTCCATGATAGCTCTTTTCATGGAAAAAGTTGCACATTTCATACTAAGGCCTCATTTTTATTACACCACTGAGTCTGAGTAAACATACATTTAGAATAGGTTAAATAATATAAGAAAATCATGACGGTTAATTGTGCTCTTGGACTTTACCCCCTTGGCTTTGATAACTCAGGGTCAGAAGAAAGAAAAGAAATTATTTTTCAAGGACAATTGTATTAAGTAGTCTAAAATTCTGTCCCTAATAAATAGCTAACTTGATATGTTAGTACTGAATAAAAATCATGTACATGAATATCCTAGCATTGTTTAGTAGTTTGGGTTAGTGCTGCCCGGGGAGGCACAGATAACCCCAATCCAATCCAAAACAACAAAAAAAACCACCAAAATTGTACATCTTTATTTTCAGCAAATAGATAATCATTCTGAAATTAAGTCAACAATTGTTTAACTAAAATAATTTAAGTGTAATACTTTGAACTATGTTTTAAGTGCAAAAATCAGCCCTCAGTATCATAAAACCTCACTTTCATAATGACAATATCCACTTTAAGAGTGCTATTTTGATTTTATAAATGCCTCAAAATATAGAAAAAAAGTTATGCCCGAGGCAGATGGACCCCTCCGCCACACCCTTTCTACCATCGTCAGGAGCCTCATCCACACAGATGTCGGCAATATTTATAGCTATATTCTTCTTAATCGCTGACATCTGTAATATTCATAAATTCATATTGTGCACTACTGATATTGTGCATGTTAGCTGCCAGAGTTCTTTCACTGAAATAATTGTGTAGTATAATTATATCAGAGAAAATATTTAAAAAAATTACTTTTGAATTTTGCTATATGCTTTTATTTTTTTTTGTTTTACATTCCAAGTTTTACAGACAGTATTTCTATACCCAGTGAAGAAATGTTGAATTCAAGTGCAGCTGAACGTAACAAACAATCTATTTTAGGTATTCTAGCAATGTTTTATATAGAGAGAGATAACACTAAACCCTATAATTGTAAATGACACAACCTTTGTCAATACAAAGAAAGAAAACCCCAAATTTACAAATAATTACAGGTAATACTGAATTACATTTCATGAAACACTCATAATAAACATGCATGAGCAACCTTATTAAAATTATTTCCCCAGATGTCTTAAAAAACTTCCTTGACCCTTATGAATCGGGCAAAGTACTAGAAATAGCTTCTGGAACTGGGCAACATGTTGCCCATTTTGCTATCCATCTCCCACATATCATTTGGCAGCCAAGTGATATTGATCAAAGTCATCTTAAAAGGTAAGCAGGGCATTCCATTCCAATAAGTAAATTCAAGTGGTTGATGCTATTGACAGGGGCCATATTGCAACAGCTTATACCATAGTCCTTTACTTTAATCAGTGCTATTTGTTTGGATGCTCATACAAAACATTTTTCTTTTTTTCTCATTAAAATTTAAGTTTCCGGATCTTACGTTAAAACATTCTTTACCTATTTCTATTCTAATAATTCTATTAATTTAATACCGGTACAACTGTTACTGTTTGATTATTTTAAAGTTTTTTGAGGAAAACTTTTGTGTTCAGTTAAAATGTTAACTCTGTTTTATGCAGGTTGTTCTAAAATAAAACGATTACAACTAAAAATGTATAAAAATCAAATGTGACTGAAATAAAATCATGGGGTTCCATAAGAAAATTATTCCAGTGATCGGACCAGGATAGTAAGTTGGTGAGCTAGATATAAATCATCTAGCTATCTTACTAATTTCTAAACACTACCCCTTGCTAAATAATCCCCATACTTCATCAACTCTTTCCTCTTATAATGGGGGCCTCACAATTTTATTTTCAGTCATGATAAAAAGAATGTTTTGATCACAGAAAAATATTTTAAAACTTTTTTTGTGCAAGCTTTACTCCCATGTATTGGTAAATTAAAAACGAAAAAGCTGTCAGGGTGCTGGGTGGCCGAGCGGTCTAAACTGACTCAAAGCAAATAGCTGGTGGTCTGGAGTGCACCAAAGCCAACATCCCAAGCATCCCGGGCAGATGGGACTCACTAGCCTTGGACAGCAACTCATCTAAGTGAAGGCAAACTCTGAATTCAAACCAGGAGCCAGAATGATCAATAAATTGATAGTGCTATGTGTTACCTCCGATGCTCATTGATATCTCAAAACCACTAGACAAATGTGATGGAGGGACTCTCAAAAAGGAGACATGGGATCTCATCTTAAACAGCAACATGGTCCACATATCAGCATTTGACACCTCTGTGGTAACAACATATCTTACCGTAATAGTTATCTTAATGGTAATTGTATTGGTAGTGCTTATAGTCTTACTTTTTATTTCTGAAATTACTTCAGCATTTTTTCACAAATATCTGTTCATGCTTAATTTTCAGGGTCTTTTCAAAGCTGCTGGTATTTTACTGAAAAGTCAAGGCATTTTATTTATGTATGGGGTAAGTCAGAGAAAAACAGAAAACGATTTCTCTTTCCGTGTAATTTTTAAAAAGATTTCCATTAATGAATTTCATCGTACAATCTAAACTATTCTGAGGTTTATACATTTGAGTTCCTAACTAATACTATTTCTGGGGATAGCCTAAATGTTTTTTTAGAAACATTTGCGTACACTTCTCTCTTATATTATATCTATTTTGCTTCTGGTGTGTCCTGCTTCTTTTTCACAAACAACAACCCCCCCCCCCCCCCCCCCCCCGGCCCATTTTTTTATATTAAGTCTTGAGTGAACGTTGAAATTTGGTTAAAAGTTTTATTTTTTCTTTATGCGGAGGCCACTATTATATTAATTAATAAAGAGCCACATCTGTGGTGTAGGACTGTTTGTAGGTCTATAGTTTAAAGGCATGCAGGTAGTGTAGGCCTATTGTTCAAAGGCTGACAGGTAGTGTGAAGGACTGTCTGTAGGCCTATTGTTTATAGAAAATGAGAAGTTCACTTTTTTTTGTAATACTTGGACACACCAGGTATTTTCTCAAAACACCCTGTGTAAAAAAACTGCATCCGGTTAAGCCCTAGTATGATACAATTCAGTCATCTACCATTTGAATGTCAAGATTAACTACAAAGTAAATATCATCTTTTTCATTAATGCAGAAATACAAGTAAAAAATTACTTGGTAAGCTCTGAATGTTTATTTATATATAAGACACTCAAATCATCTGTTATTTTTGTTTTCATTTTTAAGGTAAGTCAAACTATTTTATTTTGACCTTATTTCACTTTCAGCCATTCAAGATGTATGGGAAGTTGGTACCAGAGAGCAACGTTCGTTTTGATGCTTGTTTGCGAGCTCAGTGAGTTGATTATCACTATTATCAGTACAGTACAATTTTGAAAACAAATATGAATAATTTAGAGAAAGCTTCAGAGAATGTTGTTTAAAAGTAGATGCATAATATGAATTAAACTTTATCCTTATGATTCTGGCAGAGATCCTTCTTGGGGTGTAAGAGATGTTGCAGATCTTGAGACGTTGGCTAAAGACAATGGCCTAAAGCTTGAAAACATGGTACTCACTATAAAGCACTGAAATCTTGTAAAATTCTTTTTGTCTCTTCTTTTTCAACTACCTTAATTGGATTACAATAATATAATGTACTTGATGATCAAAATTGCTGACTTTTCCCCCCCAACAGGTTGATATGCCAGCAAACAATAAGTGTCTGATCTTTAGAAAACTTGTCCGAAATTCAAGCATGTCTTAGATGGGAGCACTAATGAAAGCACTCCGCACAGGATGCCCAATCTGTCTACTGGTCAGGCAAAGCCAAGAAGCCCAATCTGTCTACTAGTCAGTCACAGACATGTCTTAAGATGAAAGCTTTTGTTATTCTTCATTGCCAGTCTGTGGTATTCAGCCATGTTAATTAGGTTAATTAGGCTTTAGGTCTAATTGTCCATGAACCGTGGATCACCGGTCATAATTCCTTTATCTGCTATTATAAAAGAAATAAAACTTGATGTTTTAAGGTGCTAGCAGAAAATGTACTTTATTTAGATCTATCTGGGTCAAGCTAATGCCAGATGACTATATGTTATATTTAAATATGGAGTAAGAACCTGGACAATTCTCACTTTAATTGACAACAAAAACTGTAGAGGACTAGTGGGAAAAATTGTCCATTTAATAGATACTCCGTAAATAAATACAAGTACATTGCACAGTAAGTCTAACAAGAAGCATAGATTAGTGGGAGTATCTGGACTATGAGCAAACATTGGAGACATAGTTAATGCATGTATAACACAAAATTTCACTTCAAGTGTTATGAAGAAATATCTATGCTTAAACTTGCTTGATCTATGCGTGTCGACAATTTCAAATAAATCATGAAGTAGAAGTGTTTATTCCACAAAGTATGTATGTATAAAACATTTTAAATGTCAAAAATAAATTTTGAAATCATGATTGACTTTAAATTTATGCAAGTGAAATGTAACTTTGTATGTCTTTACTTACACTTAATTTTTTAAGGACTTTTTTTCCATGACCAATTATTTTCATTCGTATTCATATGCTTAAAATTACCCCTAATGAACATAATACGTTAAACATGTAATGGTTAAAACAACAATAGTAACTCATCAAACATATAAATCACTGTGTTACTATTACAGTTCTCATTGTATGAATCTGAAATGTTACCTACTCTATTAATGGAGGTAAGAAATTCACAAACTTTTCCTTATAATTGTTTGAATAAAGATGAGTTTAATTTAATTAGTAGGCTAGGATTTCCATCTTCACCAGTAATTATCCAAAACATTACTTCTTTTTTTTTATCCTTTATACTAATTTAGCATTTTTTCCTGGCAGGCAAAATCTTCGGGCGGCTAATTGACTCACATTCCGTCAAGCTATCGAGCTGGAACTTAGCCCATAGACTAGTGCCAACGACAACACATTATATCAAATTTTCAGCACACCCAACCCCCAAAAATCAGTTTTTCAAGAGGAAGTTAAAGGAAAATTCCAGATAACTGAGCTAAATGAGATTTTAAAAAAAAAATATATGGCAAGTGGGTATGGTGCGTAATATTTTCTTTTGCTTTTCTAAAATTGTTTATGAAATAAATCTGTGGTGCAAAAGCGGGTGGGTCATTAGAATACACACATAATTCAGTTAGAATATACATATAATATAAATTTTTAGGGGTTGTTTAATTAGTCATTATTTGAGCTACCTGACTTGATTGGATAAAGTAAATTTGTTTTATTTGCTCCGAAATGACACAGAAGCTTTGACAAAATTGAATGCCAGCCAACATCATGCTAATAAATGATGGAACTAGTTGTGCTTATTAAAAGAAACATTTAAAATGAAGATTTAAAAAATATATCTTCAAGAAAATATTTAAAAAAAAACAACAAAGAGTTTCAAATAGTCCTCAAGTTTTAAAAAGAAGTTCTCCTAAGTTTAAGCAATAATTATAGACTAATAGATGGTCAAAAAAATGCTTGGGTCACAGAGGTACATATACAAAATGTATGGTACAATTATTTATGTTACATGATCACACTTCAGTTTTGTTCACAAGAGTTGTTCACAAGTGATAGCTGATTAGACACAGTGAGGCAAAGCTGCTTCCACATTGTGGCGAACATAAGAGTATGGAATGATTGATAAAAGTTTCTAACTGCCATATCCATGTCAGATTCCAAACTAGTTTACCAAATCTAGTCAGTATGAATTAGTTTATAGGATGATTTTTTAGAGAAAAAATTATTACATAATAACCTTCATATGCTGAAATTATTGGGTTCTTTATCTTCATATTCCCTTCATAATATTAATATAAAGCAATTTCATTATTCTTATACATTTTTTTAATTTAACAAAATATGGAAAAACACTGGAATTCTTAAATTTTCACAGGTAATAAAAATTTATGTTCATTTTTATGCAGTGGTAAATATGAAAACTATAGACCATATCTGGAATAAGACATGTTTTTGTGACAGCTGAGAAAGCTAGAAATGCCACTGTATCACTTTGTCCCAACAGTAAGAACTAATCGTCAAAAGATATCAGCTGTAATTCCTTTTGACCCGACGATGGCTGCCCCCCTTGTTGATAAGGGGCTGCAAATTGTTGCTGTTGAGGCTGCTGGTACTGCTGTTGTTGCGGGGGTGGTGCAAATTGCTGTGGGGGCTGTGCTGTGTTATTGTAAATGGGTGCATTCTGGTGAGCTGGCAGAGCTCCTGCTAAACCTGAAACACCAGTAAGACATTAGTACTTGAATTAACAAATATAAGACTTGACTAAAGATAACAGATAATCCTAAAGGAAAACTTTGGAAAATGCTGATATGCAGCATGTGGATATAAATTTTAAAATTATTTTTGAACGAAAAACTTGCTGTAAAAAAGGAGTTAAATTTAAATATCAGATATCCCCCCAAAATTATGTTGAAATATGAAACTCAAAGTTTGTATCAATACCTTGCATGTTGTAGGACTGGTAATCCTGGGATTGAGCTGGTCCACCAACATAACCAGCTTGACCATCCATTCCTCCCAGAGAAGGAGGGTTGGAGTGATGGAGACCAGAGTTTATTTGACCTGGCATGTTGCTGTAGCCACCTAGTTACATTTTGGAGTAAACAGATGGATGAATACACCAATGCTGACAATATGTTAGTTAAGTGTAGCATGCAGAGACATTTAGAGTCAACTTCTTTGTACATCTGGTTAAATAATGGTCTAGGCCAAACGCAAGCACTTAGGTACTACTTACCAGACATTGGGCCCACCATTGAGTGTTGATCTCCCTAGATTAAAAAAAAGGTTTTCATGAAAGTGGAAGATAAATTACATCTCAACAAAAATGGAAGTATAGCAAATTGCATCACAAATATTTTTATAAAAAAAATAACAGTAAATTAACTCCCTTATGCAGTGGACTGTAGGTGGATGAGGCAGTGGACTATAAGTGGACGAGGCAGTTGACTATAAGTGGACGAGGCAGTGGATTATAGGTGGACGAGGCAGAGAACTATAGGTGGATGAGGCAGTGGACTATAGGTGGACGAGGCAGTGGACTATATGTGGACGAGGCAGTGGACTATAGGTGGACGAGGCAGTGGACTATATGTGGACAAGGCAGTGGACTATATGTGGACGAGGCAGTGGACTATATGTGGATGAGGCAGTGGACTATATGTGGATGAGGCAGTGGACTATATGTGGACGAGGCAGTGGACTATAAGTGGACGAGGCAGTGGACTATAGGTGGATGAGGCAGTGGACTATAGGTGGACGAGGCAGTGGACTATAGGTGGACGAGGCAGTGGACTATATGTGGACGAGGCAGTGGACTATATGTGGACGAGGCAGTGGACTATAGGTGGATGGGGCAGTGGACTATAGGTGGACGAGGCAGTGGACTATATGTGGACGAGGCAGTGGACTATAGGTGGACGAGGCAGTGGACTATATGTGGATGAGGCAGTGGACTATATGTGGATGAGGCAGTGGACTATATGTGGACGAGGCAGTGGATTATAAGTGGACGAGGCAGTGAACTATAGGTGGATGAGGCAGTGGACTATAGGTGGACGAGGCAGTGGACTATAGGTGGACGAGGCAGTGGACTATATGTGGACGAGGCAGTGGACTATATGTGGACGAGGCAGTGGACTATATGTGGACGAGGCAGTGGACTATATGTGGATGAGGCAGTGGACTATATGTGGATGAGGCAGTGGACTATAAGTGGATGAGGCAGTGGACTATATGTGGATGAGGCAGTGGACTATATATGGATGAGGCAGTGGATTATAAGTGGACGAGGCAGTGGACTATAAGTGGACGAGGCAGTGGACTATATGTGGACGAGGCAGTGGATTATAAGTGGACGAGGCAGTGAACTATAGGTGGATGAGGCAGTGGACTATAGGTGGACGAGTCAGTGGACTATAAGGATGAGGCAGTGGATTATAAGTGGAGGAGGCAGTGGACTATAAGTGGACGAGGCAGTGGACTATATGTGGACGAGGCAGTGGATTATAAGTGGACGAGGCAGTGAACTATAGGTGGATGAGGCAGTGGACTATAGGTGGACGAGGCAGTGGACTATATGTGGACGAGGCAGTGGACTATACGTGGACGAGGCAGTGGACTATAAGTGGATGAGGCAGTGGACTATATGTGGATGAGGCACAGAGGTTTGGCTTGTGACAAAGAAAAACATGCATTTAAAAAAAAAAAAATCGATTTTGCATCTCTTCAATTTTCAAACCCAGATGGATAAGACCGTACTTATGTGCAATCAAAATATGATGCATTAGAATGTAAAGTTGACAATAATGTGCCACCACAACATTGTCATTGTTCGTCTGTCAAGATCGATTAGGACCATCTAGTCATCCGGTTGTGGAGGTGTCGGTGTTGGGGGGTGGGTCACAGTGAGTTCATAGGTGGCCTGCTAGTCCGATCCGTGCTTGGAATACTCTCTGGCACTGCGGGCAGGGGACTGTTGCTGTAGTTGATGATTTAATGTTGCTTTTTCGGGCTAGCCTGCATGTCTCAGCTGTGGCTCTCCTACTGGCTTCATGAGATTGAGCCCCCTTCTGGACATCTGATCTCCACCTGGCTCTGTCCTAGGCTGTCTGCATCCATTCAATTGGGTTGATGCTGAAGGCCTTTAGTGCCACTTTCAGTGTGTCCTTGTAATGCTTTCTTTGACCTCCTTGGGAGCGCTTG